TCTCTCTCTCTCTCTCTCTCTCTCTCTCTCGCTCTTTCTCTCTCTATGTGTCTGACTCTCTTGCTCCCTCTCACTCTCTCTTTCCCTCACACACACGCACTCTCTCCTGTTTCAGTTTTTCAGGACGGTATGGAGAAGGAGTGTGAGAGGGTAAGCAAGAGGGAGAGAGATATAGCCAGGAATCGATTAAAAGCTACAGTGATGCAAAATTGATGAAAGCTAAGGAAAGCGAGAGTCAGCGCGAGAAAGCGCGAGAGAGAGAAAGAGAGCGAGAGAGAGGGGGAGAGAGAGGCGGGGGGAGTGAGAGAAAACGCGAATATTTAACGAGTCAGATTTTTAAAGTGATAGGGCTAGGAAGCTAGGAAAAGAAATGCATCAAAAAAACCCCCCAAAAATCTCAATTGAATACAAAATACTGTACGCCCAAAAATGCCGGCGAACAGTGACAAAGTTAGGTGCAAAAATTTCGTTATGTCGAATCGAGGGCCAGCCGGGGCCGAAGCGTGTGGCCCTTTCTGTTTGTGGCCGTCTGTCCACCACCCTTTCGGATGCCTGGACATTTCCGCAAATATCTGCTCCTGCCCCCCTCGACTACGAGACCATACACAAAACGGTGTGCTGCCCTCCGTTGAGTCAATTTTTGTACTGGATGTTAGGTGAGAAGGGAGATCCAGGCCATCGGATAGAAAATTGCCAGTTGGGTTTAAAGGGACTGGGAAGCCAGGAAATATGGGTATATAAGGTTTTTAGAAAATTGAAGATCCGCAAAAATATGCATACTCGGGTAATCATCATTATGGAGAAGTGAGCGGGAGGGAGATAGAGAGGGAGTGAGAGGGAAAAAGAAAGAGGCAGAGAGAACTAGAGAGAAGGAGAGAGACATGGAGAGAGCGAGCTATAAAAATCGTTTAAAGCTAAGATAAACTGATTGTTGGCAGCATTCGAACGGAATCGTGAAATGGCCGGGTGGGGGCCAAGAAGAAGCCCCTCTCCCCCGGAGGAGGAGCAGAGCCACCGGTTCGACACTGGCGGCTCCGAGGGCAAACAGCGGACCCTGTGAACCTGGAACGAGAGATGGGAGAGAGACTGAGGGAGCGAGAGAAAGAGAGAAAGAGAGAGAGAGAGAGAGAGAGAGAGAACGAGAATGCGATAGTTAGCTAGCATCGCTGGGGAACCATTTGATCATTGCGGGGGGATCGAGGTGGAACTGCGAAACCACCGAAAAAGTTGAACTATAGACTTGGCAGTATCAGTCGGATTGGGAAGTGCAAAAAATTACATCGAATGTACTTGAAAACATAAGAATGGTGGATCAAAAAAAACACAACTTTAAACAATATTCAAATACATACAATTAAAAATTAACAGGCTTCAGAAAAATGCAATAACGTTGCCTAAATTTAACCTTAAGCAAAAACCTACGCCTAAGCTCAAGCCTTAGCCTAAGCCAAACCTAAGCCTAACCATAACCATAATTCAAAACCTAAGACTAACCGTAAGGCTAAGTCTAAGCCTAAGCTTAACCTAAGCCTAAGTCTGAACGAAAGCTTGAGCAAAAGCTGAGCCTAAGCCGTAAACTAAGCCGGTTAAGCCAAACTTAGGCAGTTCTAAGCCTATCTGTCCAAATCCATTGATCAATCTCTCAACTGAACTCAACACCAACATTTACAAATCCCCACGCCCTGCCACATTTTCCTTCCTGCTCGCCCAAGAAAAGAAACGGTACCCACCAAACCGGACATTTCGCTGTCGCCGGGCCGTTTTTTGGGCGGAGACGACCTTCTCCATCGTGATCCGCTGGCCGCCTGGAAATGGAAAGAGTACTCTTTCGGACTACCGGTTTCTAGCCTTTTTCTAATCTTAAAAAAGCCGGAAACTGATCAGGCATTCAAGCCATTTCAAGTTTTGAATTTAATATTTTAAAAACTCTAGTTTTGAGGTCTTGGCGGGTTTTTGAGGCGTCACCCACCAGAAGACGTCGACGGCAGCGTGGATTTTGCCTTTTTGTACATATCTAAAAAAGCTGGTGAGTGACAGAGAGGTAGAGAGAGAGACAGAGAGAGAAAGAGAGAGCGAGAGAGAGGCAGTGATAGAGGCAGAGACAGCATTATTTCCGCTAAAAATCAGGACAAAAAGCTCACATACAGCCAATCAATAGGTCCGCAAAAGGTCTGTAATACAAAGCTTCGCCGGCGGCCCCCAACAAATTCGGGCATCAATTTCCTCCGGTAATACCCAATTTGCCGGGGTCCGTTTTTTCGCGGGCCCCAGGGAAAAGCCCATCGTACGACAATAATAAATCCTTAATGGGTGGGCACGGGTGACGAAGAGATGTTTTAAAAGGCCGTTTGCGAGTCATCCGAACAAGGCTTGGCACAGTTTTTTTCGACCCCGTTTTTTCGACGCCATGTGAAAGAGCATAGTCGAATTAGTAGGGCTGCATAGTTTTGCAAGTTTAAAAAGTTTAATTTTGGGGCTTAAATGACCGTTAAAGTTGCCTACCCCGAAAAACTATCTCGGAGCTCATTGGGCGGATCTGCATGAAACCTCGGGACAATACCTAATTTGAGGCGCTGATCATTTTTCTAATACATTGCGAAGCACGAAAATGACCGGAACATAGGAATATCGCGTAGTCAAAACAGTTTTTCTGGGTTTTCGTCATGATGGAAAGTTTGCTGTAAGCTGAAAGTTATATCAAAAGATGCGCAAAAAATTTCTGCATCGAATGGTGTATTTTTTAGGATGCAGCCAGTTTTCCATCAGGTCGAAAAATTTGATATACTAAGCCTCAGGTACAAAAATTCAAAAGTTGCAAATATAAAAAACGTTGCCTGGTTTCTAGAGACGAAATCAGACCGATCGCAAAAAAGAGCAAAAAGAAATTCGGCTTCTGAGAGGGGGCTGGGATTGAACTCGGGTCGTTCGCGTGGGACCTGGCGGCGCCCACTAGTCCCCGTCCCCCGTGCCCCCCAGGCGGACCATCGCGGGTTCGATCCCGCAAATCGCCAGTTCCGCGTAGGAAGGGAATTTCTTTTTGCTTTTTTTTGCTTTTGGTTTTGGCTAGTTTTTATATGGGGCTCTATTTACTTATGATGACAAAGAAGTTTTCTTATACATTTTGAGATGGTTTCTCTCGATTCTAGAAAAGCTAATTTTTCGACATGATGGAAAAGTGGCTGCATCCTGAAAAATACACGATTCGATGCAGAAATTTTTTGCGCATCTTTTGATATAATTTTCAGCTTACAGCAAACTTTCCATCATGACGAAAACCCAGAAAAACTGTTTTGACTACGCGATATTCCTATGTTCCGGTCATTTTCGTGCTTCGCAATGTATTAGAAAAATGATCAGCGCCTCAAATTAGGTATTGTCACGAGGTTTCATGCAGATCCGCCCAGTGAGCTCCGAGATAATTTTTCGGGGTAGCCAACTTTAACGGCCATTTAAGCCCCAAAATTAAACTTTTTAAATTTTCAAAACTATGCAATCCTACTAATTCGACCATGCTCTTTCACATGGCGTCGAAAAAACGGGGTCGAAAAAAACTGTGCCAAGCCATAATGGGGACTGTTCGAGTGGCCCGCGGACGGCCTTTTAATGATCGGCGAAATTTTGAAGCAATCTCTAGGCTGCTAGCGCAAATAAATCGCTAAAATGGTTTTAAACGTCAAGAATACTAAGATTTTAGCAATAGTTTTTAATAATGCAACATTGATAATTTAAAACCTCAAATTATCCCTCGAAAATCGATGCGAATTCGAGTTTGTTTCAAGAAATATTCCCACCACACGGCCACCACCACCTTTTTGCGCTAATGGCCGTGGGGCGGCAATCCTGGGGACCTCGTGGTAATTGATATTTTGCGGCCCACGGGCTCGATTGGGAAACTAGAAAGCGTGATTTGTTATAATATATTTTTTTGCAAGTTTTAAGGAGTTTTTTTATCGAGTTTTTACACTGGAACGATCAAAAAAAGCGCAAAAATTTAAAAAAACGATAATTTTGTATTTTTTAAATAAGAATTTGTAAATTTCTGCGTTGGGGATTGTAAAAACAGCTTAGAAAAACTTCCTTATATTACAATATAAATCTGGAGTTAAAGAAAACTAATGAAAATGTAGTTTCGTGCCCTGATACCCCCCCCGCCCGTAAATGCAAAAGAACCCCATAGATAACAAAAACCGTCTTGCAGGTCTCTTTATGCATAAAAATAATTGAAAATATTTCTATTTATTTCTGATGCCGTCGATAACCGCGAAAACCAATCACCAAGACGACAAAATTGGAAGCAATGTCGGCCCAAAATTCCGAACAACACAGCCGAAACCCCAAAATTACAGTAGAACCCTCCAGGACTCCGGGTTTCCGGTGCCTAGCCCCCGGAGGTATCGATGGCAACTGGCTACAAATTTGTCGAGTTTTTGAAAGAACAATTATCGCCGCTTCCCCCTGGGGGCAGAGACCCAACCAACCACCGGGGCCAACCCGCTCATTACCCGGCTTGACGCTCGCCCCCGACAAAACTCTTTTTTTTTCATCTCAACTCAGCTGAGTGATCGTCAAAAACCGCGCAAGACTTAGTTAGGCTTCAGCGATCAGCTTTTTTACGCTTAGGCTTAGGCTTAGGCGCCCACAAGCTCATAAAAAGTATAAAATTATCGGGTTTCTGGTCAAAAATCCATGAAAATGGTCCAAAGAAGTTTAAAAAAGCTTTCTAACTATCAAAATATCATTCCAAAAGGGTTAAAAATATCAAAATATCAAACTATCTGCCATCAAAAAGTAATGAAAACACTATAAAATAAATTATATATTATCAACAGGTAAAAGATAATAGCCGGGAACAAAAATTAGTTACCGCGGCTAAAAATCCCCTCTGCTAACGGTCCAGTACCCGGGCAAGAGCTGGGGGTAAAAACTATTTATTCGAATCGGTACAATATCAGCGAAACACGTGGTGATGAATGCGTTTTTTTCTCTAATGTAGTGCTTCAGACGTCCGCCGGCTGCTGCCCGGAAGCATCGGATTGCTGCTGCCGCGGCGCTACTGACTAAAGTTGAAAGTTTTACAAATCCAATAACTCTGCTGCATTCTTTACCCACCTTGTGGCGACCATTCGAATCCAGCTCTTCGCTAAAAAAAAAATTTTCTAAAGCTTGATTGCTCGACCAACACGTTGAGATAGTAGCAGGACACGAAGAGAAAGATCAAAAACGCCACCAGCGACATGACGACAAAACTCGTGGCTGAAAACATGGCTTAATCATACCACATCTGTGTTTAAAATCGGCTTTTCTGTTCGAAAACACTGTTTAAAAACTGCATTGAAAAGAAAGACAGGTTACTATTAAACTAGCGATTTTTTTCAAATTTGAGCTATTAAACTTTTTCACAACACTCACCGAGAATCTGCACAACCATATTGTCGCCTGGATCGAGTGGGTAGCTGGGCACCAGGCAGAGGTACTAAAGAATGACAAGTTCACGAGCTAAGGAAAACTCTCAAACCATTTCCAATTCTTCCGCTGTGCAATTCTCCCTCAGGGGCACGCAATCGCTCTAAACGAGCTTGATTTTCACGTATTCTGTCTCTTTATGGTGTTAATGCCGATCTACAGTTAATATTTAGGGCGTAAAGTTTATTTTACCGCCTACCAAATTTCAGATCGCGACTAGCCATTAGTATACAGGGCTGTGAAATATATGAAAATGTTCGCCTTGTTCCGTAGAACCATAGCTTCCTCGACAGAAAGGCTTCATCTAAAATTTTTCGAGGCGCAAAAGTCGGGATCGCTGCTGCGGGTAAGCTAACTTTTAATTGGCTGCGGGTTTTTAACACCGCTTACAGCTCTTCGTTACTATAAATAACCCGTAAAATCGATACCGACATTATCTACTCTGGTTCGGCCGGCGAAGGGGCCGGCGAACCTTGGGCGAAGGGGCCAGGCCGGTGGGCCGGCCGGTTCGCCGAACCTGGATTGGCGAACCGGCCGGCAAACGTACGTTCGCCGGCGAACCTCGGCGAACCTGAGCGAGCTTTTAACGGCAACCCTTATTAATATATGAAAATTAAATTATTAAACGCTTTCTGCGTGTTGTTTCTATGGTTTCTGCTTCCGGCAACGACAACCGAAGTGTAGACGAGTAGAGATGCTGGAAATACTTGGTTTTCCGGTGTTTTTGGCCTTCGTAGCCTTTGAACCTACTTTTCCTCGGATAAAACTACTCTGCTATCAATTCCTACTTTGAACAGAGCGGTATTGTTAACTACTATAACTTACGAGCCATTACCACCATTCGTGATGTCGACAGCAGTTGTGCATCCCATCTGCGAAATCTAGGACGGAGCGTTCTTTCGATAGCCTTTTATTATTTTGAAACAGCTTGCCTGAATTAATCTTTTAAAGAAAATAGACATTTTCGATACAGCAAGAATGTTGCCAGTTACCTGGATTATGAGTAATTAAAATCCTCCTCTTATGCCCTGACAGCCTACCTGTGCTATTTAACCTCATATTGCGTAGTAGTCGCGCCTACTTTGTAAAATGGTTCTGAAATTAACTTTACAAGTTAGAAACTCTAAGTGGGGTAATTTTGTAAGAAAAAAATGACCTAGAAAATCCCTTTATCGACCGCAAAATAAAGTCTAACAACAATCAAACCTTTTTCATAAACCTATCGCTTTGCCGGTTGCGCCGTTACGCACCACGAAGCGTATGGTAACCCTAAAACACAAAGAATAGATCGACTTCAGCATAAAAGTAAAACCTACACTACCTATAAACCTAAACATCGACTTAAAAAGTTTAGGTAGTCAAGTAGTAGCCCGCTCAACAGCCTAGATTTGAATTAAAGGTAAAACTAACCGAAGATGACGTTGTTGGATGCCATTCTCGTCTTCAAGCTTCTGGAGGTAGCGTTCACACTGGTAGGACTGCCTATAAAAGATGAAATCCATAAAAAAATATAAAGATTTACCAGTTACCAACGATTCCTGGATTTCAGGATCAGTGTGCTAAACAGATATCACCTAAAGATTACAATAGCAATAAATATAAAAGTTATAAAAGATTTTACCTTGTAAACAGCACAATTTATAATTATTTTTTGTTTTATTGCTTAACAGTTCAAATCTGCCGCATTCGCCGCAACCGCGCGCGTTGCGGTTCGCCGGGCCGGTTCGCCGAGCCGAGATTTTGCCCCAGGTTCGCCCAGGTTCGCCGCAGGTTGGCCGGCCGGTGTGCCCGGCCAGGATCGCCGGCCCCTTCGCCCATCCTCGCCGGCCGGTTCGCCAGCCCTCAGGGTGGCCGGCCCCTTCGCCCGCCGAACCTGGATTGGCGAACCGGCCGGCAAACGTACGTTCGCCGGCGAACCTCGGCGAACCTGAGCGAGCTTTTAACGGCAACCCTTATTAATATATGAAAATTAAATTATTAAACGCTTTCTGCGTGTTGTTTCTATGGTTTCTGCTTCCGGCAACGACAACCGAAGTGTAGACGAGTAGAGATGCTGGAAATACTTGGTTTTCCGGTGTTTTTGGCCTTCGTAGCCTTTGAACCTACTTTTCCTCGGATAAAACTACTCTGCTATCAATTCCTACTTTGAACAGAGCGGTATTGTTAACTACTATAACTTACGAGCCATTACCACCATTCGTGATGTCGACAGCAGTTGTGCATCCCATCTGCGAAATCTAGGACGGAGCGTTCTTTCGATAGCCTTTTATTATTTTGAAACAGCTTGCCTGGAATTAATCTTTTTTAAAGAAAATAGACATTTTCGATACAGCAAGAATGTTGCCAGTTACCTGGATTATGAGTAATTAAAATCCTCCTCTTATGCCCTGACAGCCTACCTGTGCTATTTACCTCATATTGCGTAGTAGTCGCGCCTACTTTGTAAAATGGTTCTGAAATTAACTTTACAAGTTAGAAACTCTAAGTGGGGTAATTTTGTAAGAAAAAAATGACCTAGAAAATCCCTTTATCGACCGCAAAATAAAGTCTAACAACAATCAAACCTTTTTCATAAACCTATCGCTTTGCCGGTTGCGCCGTTACGCACCACGAAGCGTATGGTAACCCTAAAACACAAAGAATAGATCGACTTCAGCATAAAAGTAAAACCTACACTACCTATAAACCTAAACATCGACTTAAAAAGTTTAGGTAGTCAAGTAGTAGCCCGCTCAACAGCCTAGATTTGAATTAAAGGTAAAACTAACCGAAGATGACGTTGTTGGATGCCATTCTCGTCTTCAAGCTTCTGGAGGTAGCGTTCACACTGGTAGGACTGCCTATAAAAGATGAAATCCATAAAAAAAATATAAAGATTTACCAGTTACCAACGATTCCTGGATTTCAGGATCAGTGTGCTAAACAGATATCACCTAAAGATTACAATAGCAATAAATATAAAAGTTATAAAAGATTTTACCTTGTAAACAGCACAATTTATAATTATTTTTTGTTTTATTGCTTAACAGTTCAAATCTGCCGCATTCGCCGCAACCGCGCGCGTTGCGGTTCGCCGGGCCGGTTCGCCGAGCCGAGATTTTGCCCCAGGTTCGCCCAGGTTCGCCGCAGGTTGGCCGGCCGGTGTGCCCGGCCAGGATCGCCGGCCCCTTCGCCCATCCTCGCCGGCCGGTTCGCCAGCCCTCAGGGTGGCCGGCCCCTTCGCCGGCCGAACCAGAGTACAATCCTTTCTATTGCAATGAACCGGCCGGCCCACCGGCCTGGCCCCTTCGCCCAAGGTTCGCCGGCCCCTTCGCCGGCCGAACCAGAGTAGATTTTACCCGCTGCTCGGCGAGGCCGATCATGCACATCGGTGGGCCAGTACAGTTGCGCGGCCTCGGCCTCCTGCCCAGCTCGTCATCGCTGCAGTTCCGCCCGTTTTCAAACGACTGTGACGGCTCCCCATTTGCCGAAATCGCCGTGGCATTGACCTAAAAATGTTGTAAAACACATAAAAAGCTTTACCGTCGTTCCGTTCGTCCCGTTCGCGCCATTCGCCCCATGGACGCCGACATGTAGGGCAGCGAAAAGCAGCAGCAGCAAAGCCTACAAAATTTTATATTTTTTCATTAGGCCCACCATGCAAGCCAGAAGCTTTGACGTGTAATGAGAAGATTACCTCTGACCGTAATCAGGTGTCAGATGGAAATTTCGCTTTTTCTTGTACTAAAAATAATTTTTGTGTTTTTTACAAGGCTTCTTTTAAAAATTCTTTTTGAGTTACTAGTTGCTGCTTTGCGTTTTTCCTGTTCCCCACTGTTCTTTAATATTTTAAAAACACTTCCAGATCGAAAATTTAATCGCAAACGGGCTTTCTGCCCCCGCACTTTTTCCCAGCCCTTGTTTTAAAAAAACGACTTATAGGTCACGTCATCCTCTCATAATAGCTATCCTTCAGCCATGAATATATTGCCAGAAAGCTGGAACCACCGTTCCTTTCCCCCAGCGAGCCCGCGAGCATTTATTGACCTTCCCGGCGGCGGCATTGCGAAAGCCTTTCCTGCGCTTTTAGCCGGCCCTCGCATCCCACTCTTCCGCTCTCCCCTCTTTTCCTTAAAGCTTTAATTTCTTGTTTACAGGTAGTCCTGGCCGGCCTATTCACCGATGAACTTGAAGCAGCTCGCTGCCGAGAGTAAGCCATTACCTTTCCTCATTTATTTTTGTTCCAGAAATCCTTGGCGAGGTGCTGCGCCCATTGAAAGATGTAGGGCGTCTCAAAATTCTCGTGGTCGACCCGTTTACGAAGGAAATGCTGTCGGCCTGCTGCACCATGAGCGATGTGACTGCTGAGGGAATCGCGACAAGTTGGCGGCTTTATAGCTCCGGCCAAGCCTTTCTTTAGTCGAGGACCTGATGAAAAGCCGCGAGCCGTTGCCGAGCTTGGAAGCCATATACTTTCTTTCGCCGAGCCACGAGTCGGTGAGTAGTTTTTTGTTTTTTCTACAAGGATTTTTAGGTCAGTCGCCTAATCGGCGACTTCGCCTTCCGCACCCAGTACCGAAGCGCGCACGTTTTCTTCACTGAGGCCTGCCCCCGATGCGCTGCTCAACAACATTGCCAAGTCGACGGTGATGCGCTCCATCAAAACGTGCAAGGAGCTCGGTCTGGCGTATATTCCGTACGAAGCTCAGGTATATGCAGAGTTGGCTGTTTGTAAACGTTAGATTTAGGTTTTCACGCTGCATCTTCCCGACACCATGCCCAAGTTCTTTCCCCCGCAAAAATCTGAGGACTTTTGGGATCGGATCGAGATGATCGCCGATCGGTTAGCGTTGTTGTGTGTGGCAGTGGGCGATATCCCGTCCATCAGGTAAATTTTTCGGAGGAACTGTGCGAAATTTAGCCAGATTTTTACCCAGATTTTATACTTTCACGATATTTTTAGTTATCGCGAGGCATTTACTCGTAACATCGAACTTGCGCACCTCGTGGAAAACAAGCTTTCCATCTTGCGCAAGGAGAACCCGTCGCTCGGGGCTGCAGATCCGGAAAAGATCCAGCCAGGGCTGATAATTTTGGGTCAGCTCTCTTTCTTGTCAAAGCAACTTTTTTTTCAGATCGCGGCTATGACCTGACGACGCCGCTGCTTCACGAGCTTACTGTGCAGGGCATGGTCCACGATTTGTTGCCAGTCGACCGGGGCGTTTACATGTATCAGGATGGAAACGAAAATCCGAAGAAAATGGTATTTTTCCGGGATTTACGATAGTTTGATTTAGCTGGTGCTTGATGAGAACAATGAAGAGTGGATGGGCACGAGACATTCGCATATCGCGGACGCGTCCAAATTAATCAGCGGCAAACTGAAGGTATGATGCATCTTTTGGCTTAATTGTGGTTTTCAGGATTTAGCAGTGGCTGACAAGGAAACGAAGCGGGATACGCTGAAGGTAAATTTACGAAACAGCTAGAAAGAGCTATTTTAGGATTTATCATCGCTGATCCGGACTGCGCCCGAGCAAAAAAAGAAGCTGGATCGGCTGGCGGGCGTCATGTACATGATCGAGCAATGCATGGCGCGTTATTCGTCCGGCGTCGACTTGTTGTGTCAAATCGAGCAGGTTTTTTGTTTTATAAAAGTAGCAACCGGCTCTTAGGACCTGGCCACCGGCGCCGACACCCATGGCGAGCCCCTAAAAGACGCGCAGCGGATGATTCTCGGTCCGTTAGCCGACCCGAAAGTTCGGCCCGAAGATCGACTACGCCTACTGTTGCTCTACATTCAATACTGCGGAGGTGCGCTTTGAGAGTAGCTATAATGCGCGCAAATAATTTAGGCGTGACCCAAGATGGGCTTCAAAAACTCGTCAAGCATGCCCAGTTCCGTTCCACGGAGAGCGACATCATCAAGAATATCGAAAACTTGGGCCTGACTGTCGTGTCCGAGGTATTTCGTTATTTTGCGAAATAAAATTGCGCTTGATCAGTTCGTGCAATCGGGTGGTAAGCTGACGGCGCGACGGGAGCGCCCATCGACGCCGGTCTACAACACGAGCAGGTACAGGATTTTTGCGCCATCTTTTTCGATGCTTCCGGAAAACAGACTGGCTAAATAGCCCATTAATGGCCGACTTCAGTTCTGAACGATTCCATTTTTGGAAAATGGATATGCCCGATGGTGGAAAAAAATCAAACATCAAAAGCTCCGTGGCGTAGACGCCCGGAGAGACTCGAAAGTTCGTTTTCCAATTTTGGAAAAGCCGCTTATTACGAGAGATTTTATTCTCTATCGAATAATTTTTGTTTCGACTTGAAAAACGTATTTTATCTTAGATGGGTCCCACTGCTCAAAGACATCTTGGAAGACGCGCTAGATGAGACAATGGACCAGAACGTGTACCCGCATTTGCCCGGTAATTTTTCAGGATAGCCATCGAATTTTTATTGTTTAGGAAAGCGCGTCTCCATCAGCAGCCAGGTTCCCATGTCCGCTCGCTACGGCCAATGGCATAAAAAGAAACCGGACAATGCGTTGAGGTGAGACAAGCCTTGTCGCATCGAAATTCCTTGCTTGTAGCTCGGGACCCCGTCTAATCGTGTATATCATCGGCGGGATGACGTATTCCGAGATGCGCACCGTTTACGAAGTATCCCGCGAAAGGAATTGTAGTATCCTGATCGGTACGTTTTTATGCGCTCATTGTAATCTATCCTTTCAGGCTCCGACCAAATCATCACACCCGATTCCTTCCTGAATGAGCTGGCCGCGATGAACCGCAAATCGGCCCTGCACTTCGAATCGTTTATCCGATGTACTGTCGTCGATGAGCAGGAAAGCCAAGTTTAAACTGTAGTAATGTGATAGAATAGCGTTATTCCTATCCCGATCTCTTCACCACTGTGATTCCTGCAACCCACTTGCTTTTGCGACCGAATAAAGTTTTACGGTATTAAAATTTATAAACGGGCTTGCACAGCTATAACAAATGTAACAACGGTACTTATAAAATTGCACAATCGCTGCACGTCAACACTCAAAACAAAACAAAAACAAATTGATCGATACTCTAGATTTAGAGGGTGACGGAGAGGGATTGGCCGCGAAGGGATTGGACGTCGCTCGTGGCATGCACAGCTGATCCATCAGGCAGCGTCAACTTCAGAGCGCCGCTCCAGAGGTTTAGTGCAGATCGGACCTAAAATAAAGGTAAGCTGCGGATAAGGACTCTGTTTTACCTCGTAAACCAGATCCGAGTATTTTGTCAAACGCTGTTCCCCGGCGGTCAGGCGCAGGGTGAATGAGGTGCCTTTGTGGCTGACGGTGACGCTGTCATCTGAGGCAGTTGCAGGAGCCGATGAAGTGCCGACCAGCCACAACTAAAAGAAGAAAAGTAGCGAACGCCTTTAAAAACTGCTTCCAAAGATTTGCTTCCGGAAATCCCCGCCGTATTTTTTCCTATTTGAACCGAAAGCGCAAACGCCCCCAGATTACGGCCCTGGCGGACCACGGGGACTCCCTAGAAAATGACCCTGAGCGAATCCCGGAAATCCTAGCCGAAAACTTCGCCAAAGTTTTTAAAGTTCCACAAACCGGCCAAACGCCAACTCAAATTGTTTGTGAGGCCCAGGAAGTCCTCCACCCTTTCCTTTTTACCCTCACGAAATCCAAAAAAGCCCTGGAGCTCTTAGCCCCAAAGATGCATTGGACCCCGGAAAATTTGCCCGCTCTGTTTTTGAAAAAGTGTTCCTATACCCTCTGCCATGCCCTTTGTCAACTATTTAATCTTTCACTGCTTGCCGGTAAAGTGCCTTCGCAGTGGTTAACTTCCCAAATAGTGCCCATTTTCAAATCTGGTGACGAGACTTTGCCCCAAAACTATCGCCCAGTAGCTTTAACTTCTTCTCTTTGTAAACTGATGGAGATTGCCTTAAAAACTAAGATTGTAGCTTTTCTCGACCAAATATCGTTTTTCTCGCCAGCACAATACGGATTCCGAGCTTCGCACTCCACCACTGCGCAAATGTTACAAATGTTTCATCAATTAGCAAACCGAATTGACCAAAAAGAAGACCCCATCAACATCTATTTCGACCTAGCAAAGGCTTTCGACACAGTCCCTCACTCCCTTTTTTGATACAAAAGACGATTCGCATCGGCCTCCCTAAAACTCTGACCTCCTGGCTAACAGCCTATCTCACAAATCGGCAATTTTTCGTTAGAGTAGCAGAAAACGAGTCACAGATTAGGCCTCAACCTTCCGGCGTTCCCCAGGGCAGTGTCCTCGGACCTTTACTATTTTTAATTTACATTAATGACCTACCCCTCTTTTGGAAAACAATCCGCTTATCTTTGCTGATGACCTAAAAATTTCGGCTAGTGTCCCTCGTGACTCTCACCGGGCTGCGGAGGTCTTTCGCTCCCTGCAAAAAGACATTCGCGCTGTAGAGACGTGGTGCCATGAAAACTGCATGTCACTCGCCCCATCAAAGACTTTTCTTCTCTCCTCTTCCCGCAACATTCCGCCCCTCTTTTTAGGACCATCGCCTATTAAGGAAATGCAGTCAATTAAGGATCTCGGAGTGACCTACGACAATAAGCTGAAATTTAAACAACATATTTCGAATATACGACTCAGCGCATCACGAATCTCGTACCTTTTAATCAAACGTATCCAGGTCCCAAACATCGCAACATATAGGCGTGTTTTCTGCACTTTAGTTAGGCCAATTTTGGAATATGCCAGTGAGGTCTGGTCCCCGGTTCAGAAGTGCCAAATCAACGAGTTAGAAAGCGTTCAGCGCAAGTTTACTCGTTTCGCTTTACTGAAACTCTTCCCAAACTCAACACCCCCTCCTTATGCAGACCGACTAGAAATTTTCTCACTTCCCACCCTAGAACAACGTAGGATAGAAGCCGACCTGGCAACTTGCTATAAGTCTCTATTTCTGCCAAATTTTCCCTGTAAGCTGTTCCAACTATCAGATCGTCCTCCCCGAAATGCACATCCTTTTCAAATCAGACGGACCCAAAGCGTCCAAGGTTTCTCGCGCGCTTTTTTCTCACGTAGGGTCATAAAGCTTTGGAATCGGCTCCCCCGGTCAGCTTTTCGTGCGGGTACCGCAAAAATCTTTCGGCGAAACTTGCAAAATATGGATCTGCAGAGCACCCCGTTCAGCGTCATATGACCCGGCCCCATATTCCCCCCCCCCTTCTTTCATTTTTATCCTGCTCTGAAAAATTTTTGATTTCAAACCGCTTATTCAATAACATGAATAAAGTATACAATAAAAAAAAAAAAAAAAGATAATCAATCCGAAAACCCCCTACCAGGAATCATCATTTTTTGTGATTTCTAGGCGGCCCTCCATGCTATTTTCTACAGCAGCTTATTTTCAAACAGTAAGTACATAGAATGATTCAATCAATAGTGCGCGGCACTACTTACCCGAATTTCTCCAGCATCCTTGATTTTCGTCAAATTGTCCGGCAATACAGCTGCGGCCTTTTCCGACTTCGGCAAAGCCTCGAACACCAGTGGCGTATTTGTGGCCTAAAAGGAAGTAAGCTTTTCCGAAAGCTTCAGTCTACCTTTCCACGTTATCCTTGTGCGCTTTGAGAACGGTTGCCAACTTGCAGTCTGGCGGGCTGATGGTGCAGTAGATCGTCGCCCGGTCGCTCTGGATGAGCTTGGCCTAACCGGGAATATTTCGTCAACCTCAATAACGTACCGCTTTGCGCAGCTTGTTGATGCGGTTTGTCACCTCGCGGGCAAGACCCTCCTCGACCAGGGAATCATCCTCGGATACGTCCACAACAATGATGGTCTAAAAAAATTCAAGGATAGTTTAAGGAAAAAAGGGTACATTGGCATCCGAGTGATATTCGTGATGGCTGGCCTGGTCGTCGCCAACGCCACCGTATTTCACCGTCACCTCTTCAGCAGTCAACTCGTGGCCCAGGACGACGAGCTTTCCTGAAACCGAAAGTTTTCTTACTTAGCCATTTGTTTACCTTCATTCAGGAACTTTTCCAACTCGGCTTGGCTGATCTCCTTCTTGAGATATTCGCCCACCTTCTTTTGGTCACCCTTCAGACGAGCGCCCAGTAGACGGAAATTAGGTTCAGCCTGCAAGCGAACGTTTCGTGCATCAAAATAATTCGTACCTTTAGCTGAACTCCGTATTGGTCCTTGTCACTGCTGACCACCAGTTTTCGAACGTTCAGCTCGGAGAGGATGTACTGCTCGAGCTCGTGCACAGCACTCAGGAAAGTCTTGTCCCGGTTGATGACAACCATCTCTTTCAACGGGTACTAAATAGAGGTTTCACAAGGAAACGAGTCATTTTACCTTGACCGCAATGCCCTTCTTGTCACGGACGACGCGAACCAAATCCATCACGGAGCGCATGGCCTGAACGAAATTTTGATGGCACAAAATCAAAATACCTGAACGCTAGTTTCGACGCTCTCGTCGATGACGCTCTCGTCCGGTTGCGGCAGGAGGGTGAAATGCACGGATTCCTCAGATGCCCCAGTCAACTAAAATAAATGGGAAATTGGTCGATGAACAGTAAGGATACCGGCAGAATTTGCTTCCAGACATATTCCGTAAAGAATGGCGTGAACGGCGCCATCAGACGGCAGATGATCGACAAGACGCGAGTCAACACCGATAGCGAGACGACCTGCTGGTCAACGCCAAGCTCTCCCTAAACAAATAGCTAAGAAACGAGCGATGCCATTACCTTAATGCGCTTTCTGTTCAAGCGGATGTAGCAGTTTGTGAGCGTATCGAAGAAGCGGGTCAAGGGGCCACGACGGTGTAGAGACGATATCGAAAAAGCAAGCATATGAAAACATTTAGAAACATACTCAGCCATCTCCGCCGTTACGAAGCGTACCAACGAGTTGGTGAACGATTCGATCCAACGATCCATGACATTCGCGTCCTTCGGGAGCTCCTTGAGAGCAAACTTGGAGCCGGACTCCTGAATTGAGCATAAAGCATTGTTCCTGGAGATTCAAGAGCAATAAAATAAAGAGAGAAAAACTGAAGCTCACCTCAAATGCCTTGATATTCTGGCCCAAAAAGCGATAAGCGTTGAACCAGGGCAGGAAAACGTCCTTCAACAGCTCGTTGACCCCAGCCTCCCGGAAGCGCAGGTTCTCGCCACGAACGACGGGTGAGTTGATCAGGTACAACCTAATATTGCGGGTAATACAAGCCGACACCACAAGTCAACCTCAAGGCATCTGCTCCATATTTGTTGACGACCAGCATCGGATCTGGGAAATTCTTCTTGCTCTTGGACATCTTGTTGCCGTCTTCGGCCAAGACGAGGCCGTTGCAGATAAGGTTCTAAAGAAACCAATTCATAGCTAGTAGCAAACCAACCTTGAACGGAGGACGATCAAAAAGCGCAGTCGAAAGCACGAGCAGCGTATAAAACCAGCCTCGTGTCTGGTCGATACCCTCGGCAATGAAATCGGCCGGGAAGTTCTCCTAAAAACACGTGTTTCAGCAGGACTAATAAACCAACCTCAAAACGGTCCTTATTCTCGAAGGGATAATGGTTCTGCGCGTACGGCATCGACCCGGACTCGAACCAACAGTCAAACACCTCGGAGGTGCGCTTCAACACGCCGCGCCCCGTGCGAGACGGGATCGTGATGTCGTCAACGCTGAAACACGGGTCATAGCATAAATAAAATTACGATACCTCTCCCTGTGCAAATCGGTGATCTTCTTCCCGCTGAGTTGTTCGAGCTCGGCAATAGAGCCGATGGGAACCACTTCTTCGCCGTCATCCGATACCTAAAAACATCACAAAAAATTTAATTAGCAAAACGCATGAATTCAATTTCCATAAAAATGGCGAACAATGCAAAACGTACCCAAAGATTGATGGGAGTACCCCAGAAACGATTTCTCGACACAGCCCAGTCACGGGCATCCCGCAGCCAATTAGCGAAGCGCTTCTCCTTCACAAAGTTAGGGACCCTAAATCAAAAAAAATCTTGAGAAGAAATTTCTTGCAGCACCAATATGTCTTCTCATTGTTTTCGAGCAGCTTGGGAACGATATCTTCGACGCGCACGAACCACGACGGCACGGCCTTGTAGAGAAGCGGCGTCTCCGAGCGCCAGCAGAACGGGTAAGAGTGCTCGACCTCGCCGCGATGGACCTAAAATACATTTTGGAGTTGCCATAAAACTCCTACCAAGTGCCCATTGTCCTTCAAATGCTTGATGATAAGCTTATCAGCATCCTTCACATACATTCCTGCCCATTCAGTGACATCGGAAGTAAATCTAGGAAAAATTGGAGCTGAGAGACGTTGATCTTACTTTCCCGTCTCATCAACAGGGCAGACAATTTTCATGTCTTTCGTGATGATGCCGTTCTCCAGGCAGCAGTGGAAATCGATCTATAAATAAGATATACACTGAAGTTGCACGCGGATTACCTCTCCGAAATAGGGGGCTTCGTGCACAACGCCCGTACCCTGATCGGTGGTAACAAATGTGTTGGTCAGGACGCGGAAGGCGTTCGTCTGCTGACGCATATGTTTGAAGTAGGGGAACAGGGGCTCATAGAGCGTGCCTTCCAACTTTTTGCCGAGGAACTAGAACGAGCAGATAACGTTTGCGAACTGGCAACGAATACCTTTTCGACAATCTCAAGGTCAGGGAGCTTGAGCTCGCCAAGTCGCGCCTCCATGACAATGTACTCGTTGCCAGTGGCCTTATCTAAATTACGTTACATCACACAACTAATAACATCGCACAAAACCTTTAGCAACGACGTATTCGAGATCAGGATGCACAACAATGGCCAAGTTGGAAGGAAGAGTCCACGGGGTAGTCGTCCAGGCGACTAGGTACCGCTTCTCCGTGTTTTCGACCTTGAACCCGACGCAGACTAAAGGGGATTGATTCCGTAATAAGGAAAAACAATACCTGCTGGGTCCTTGACCATTTTATAATTCTGTCCGGCCTCAAAATTGGAGATGGGCGTACTGCATGCCGTCGAGTAGGGCATGACCTTGAAATAAAGAATTATAGAGGCTGCGAAAAGCCCTTACTTTGACGCCACGATAAACGAGGCCCTTCTTGTAGAGCTCGGAGAAGGCCCACCACACAGATTCCATAAACCAGGGGTACAGCGTCTTGTAGTCGTTCTTGAAATCGATCCATCTAAAGAAAGAAAAAATTATCTGGGGCAGGATATCATCCGAAAAGAGTGCATCATTTCGTGGAAACAGAAACACACCTTCCGAGTCGGTTCACGCTAGTCTCCCATTCCGCTGAATAGCGCATGACAATTTTCCGGCATTCGGCATTATAATTGCCGATTCCCATCGCATGGATGTCGGCTGGGCCCTTGATGCCCAGCATTTTATCAATTTCGAACTCCTAGATTACGTTAAAAAACTAAAGAATTCATGATACCACTGGCATTCCATGTGTATCCCATCCGAAACGCCGTTCCACGTAGTACCCGCTCTGGTGTGCCCATCGCGTCACAATGTCCTTGATGGTACCTAGAAAAACTTTGTAAGAACAGTGATGGAACACAGACAGATGAACTAATTCCTGGGAGCCGAAATGCTTACCAGCAAGAATATGCCCATAATGCGGCAACCCAGTCGCAAACGGCGGACCGTCGAAGAAAGTGTAGCGCTTCCGGCCCTTGGACAACTCTACAGACTTCTCAAAAATCTTCTTTTCATTCCATTCCTGCAGTACGCGCTGCTCCTCCTCGGCAAAGTTGATCTTCTCGGGCACGGCGCCCGCGAAGGAATCGCCCATTGTCCTGAAAGATGCGTATGCTGTGCGAAAATGTCTCGTAAGTGAGAAAAGCGAGCACAAATTGCTTTCAAGTAGTAGTAGTATTTCGTCATGTGCCCCGCTGTCCTCTAAAGTCACCCAGCTGTCACTCTCCCGTAAAATTGCATAAAAATGATGAAAAGACACAGAAGCGGCAGCCTTGAGTGCCGTTTCAATAGGGCGCCAGCTGACTGGCAGCGGGGCTGCGATACGGTCGAAAAGGCGGTCTCTAGGGGCCCACCCACCGTAGCCACTCGCAGAAAACCTTTAGAAAAATCTCCCAACCAGGCAAAACCCACCCTTTTGGGGGATTCACCTTCCAACAATAACTCCTCCGAATTGACAACTGGATTTTGACGAAATGCTGCGGAAAAACAACCGCATGAAATATTCGTTGTCATCAACGTAGATTATAAATAAACATTTATCCTTCCTAATACGGTCAGGGAATGCAGATCATTGGGTACACGTCAGTCGGGGAAAAACGGAGACAAGTTAGTGATATACTAGGACACTAGTAGAAAGCGGGAGAAAGGTACAATTTGAAAATAAAATGCATTTAACTTTGGGGACGTAAAGGAGAAACGAAAGGGGCGGGGGGCAAGATCGACTTTTTGAGCGATGAAGAGACCTTGGCAAAGTGCAATGATGCCGTAGGAACCGGAGACAACCATCTCATTTTCTCGCAGCTCGCCTAAAAATCAAAATGAAGCATTTTACCGGAAAAAAAATTTAATTTCCTGACAAAAAGGCTACCTGGGCCTTTGCGAAGGGGCTGCCGCCGCGGTCTTGGGCTCAGGTTTAGATGGTTTCTTCGCAGGTGCTGGCGCGCTAGAAAAAACGTTTTCATGTACCTAGGCATCATAATATACCTATTCTTAGTCTTCGCCTGGACCTTGCTGGTTGATGAAGATTTTTTGGCAGCAGGCTTCTTTTCGCGCTCTTGAGAGTCCTGCAGCTGAAGACCCTAAATAAATGCGGAATACGGTAAGGTGCTTACTTTCAAATTGTTCGCCATTGCAGTCTGCGAAGAAGTGGTGCTTCCTTGCGTGCCACCAGTCAATCTCCGACCGATCCTGGAGATTGAAGTTACGAGCAGGTGATGTTTATTACCTTGTAGGCTTCTTTGAAGGTGATGGTGTCTTCTGCTGGCTGGATCTTACGGGCGGCGCAGGCGATACGGTATCAGCATCCGAGACATGCTTACCGCGTTTAGCTTTCGGATCCTGCAAAAAAAATGTCAGCTAAATCACTGGAGTACCTTTTCCACCGGTGTCGACGCGGTAAATCCTGGTTCGAGTGTGCTGCGAGTTGCTCGGCCGTTCTACATATAGATAGATGATAATTTTCTGGGCGTATCACTAACCTGGCGGATTGGAGAGGGAGCAATTTCATCGTTGGGGATAAATCTTGAAGGTCGGTTCTGAAAAAGAATCGTAAGATACTAAAAGCTCAGAGCACCTTCTTCAGCGCAGGCTGCTTTGTGGGTGAAGACCGTTTGCCGGGAGCACTGGATGCCGACACATTTCGCCGCTGGGTGGTGTTCTTCTGATCCGACGCAGTGGCATCTTCCAGAGATCTCTCTTCCTCCTCCGCCTCGTGTTGTTCTTCGATGGTTTCTTCGCTCTCGCTATCCGAACGGGTTTGTCGTCGTTTCCGGCGAATTCTAAATAAGACAAAATAGATTTTATTTCAGCTACCGTTTTTAAAAAAAAACTCAGGTGCACAAATTCTAACCTGCCGTTCGTCGCTTTGCCTTGTGCAGTCGAATTTCCGGAAAGCTTCTTCCCAGGCTTCCACTTCCCAGCCCGAAGCTGATCCATAATGGCTGCCGGCGCCCATAGCTAAACTGAAAATAGGTCTTCCCTAAAAAGACCATGCCTTCAAATTTGATGCTTTCTTCATTGGTACGAAATAGCGCCTTCCGAGTGGTATCTAAAGATGAGTTACAGCCGAAACGACAAAGCTTACATTATGGGAGGAGGCTGATAGGAGTTGTTTGGACATTGAAGCTAATATTGCTGTTGATAAATCAGCCAGTATCCAAAGATTCTAAAACCATCATTTGACGCAACGCCGCCTTCCATCATACCTGATTGCGCTTTTCACGTTCGGATTTTGTCGCATCTGGCGGAATTGTAGCGTCTTCCGAGTCTTTCACCATCTAAAAATCCGTAAAAATTAAAATCCCGCAAAAAAAAACCTGCAAGAAAGCAAGCGACAAGTCCAAATTGTAGCGCTTCGTTGGGTCCGTAAAAAAGATGCTGATGACGAAGGTCAGGCACCTGATAGGTAGTTTCTAGAGCTACATCAGTTGTTTACCTTATCACATCATCCAGATCTTCCTTCTCAGCCAGATCATTACAGAAACCCGAATTGGCCAGAAAATGCAGTGAATAAGGCAAGAACAGTTCGGGCTGAAAGTAGTGTAGCTTCAAAACGGTGTCTGGCAGTAGTGATGTTTGGCGGTAGAGTCGGAGTGCCACGTCCAAATCACCGCGCACCACATTCAGATATCTAGATACAGAAAAATTGTCGACGAAAGGGGACTTACCCTTCCCGTTTACTATCTTCCTCTTGTACCAACGGAGCAAGGCTCCACATGCCAGAAAATTCGATTGAAACCATCCGCCTGGCGAAGGCTTTCCGCAAGCGACGCCCCACATATACTCGAACAGCTGCAGATTCATCCTGAAACGGTTCCTAGCCAAAATCCGCAAGAAAACCCACCAACAACAAGTGAGAAACCATCTGTAGCGCCGCGACAGGTATTTGAGCCAAATATTTGGTGACGTAGGCGAGTCGAATGATCGCTGCGCCTGCATAGGCTCGGAACCACGCTTGCTCCAACGAGCTCATCCGAGCGTCATGCACGTCGCCGGCCACGCTGAGGAACGTCCGGAATAGCGTGATGATTTTTTCAACCAGCGCCAAATCGTCATCGTCGCGTCGGACATTGGTGAGGAAGCGCACCTAAAATATCAGAAGAAAGTCTCGACAAAATCGGTTACATAATGCTCAAAAATTTTTAAATTAGCTTACCAGGTATTTCATCGCGTAAATCTTTCGTTTCAGGATTGGCGGGCAAGTCGCAGTACTCAGCTCTCGTTCGATTTCTTGCGGGCCTTCATCCACCTCCGGAGACAGGCATATCTGAAAGCAAAAAGTTCAAAAAGCACGCGCGCAACCGAACTAAGATTATGGGTTTCCCCGTTCCTGCTATCGAAAAGCTCGATCAGTAATTTGAAGCAAATTCATTTACACACCTTCGTGACTATATCGCTGGTGATAATTGGGCGCAGCTCCGCTCGCATCTCACTCGGGTAGGCGTTAATAGTTCGCGAGAGTGTTTGGAGAGCGGTCACACATTGCGGATCATTGATGTCGAGGTGTTTGAGGGCGGCCTAAAAGCATTTCAGCAGCAAGTTTTAACAAACCTTTGCCATCCCAACTACAGTGTCCTTCGCTTCGGCTCGCCCGAGGAGCCTGCAAACGCAGACAACGGTTCCCTTTGCTGCTCCCGGAGGTCCACGGCGGGACAGTTCGACACAAATCTTTACAGCCCTAAAAAAGATCAACTAAATCGCAAATGACACTTACTCGTCAGCCCAGCTATGCTCGGAAACTTTGATGATGCTTTGTTCGCACACGTGCAGCAGTACTTGAACTCCAGCCTCCACTAAAAAAAGCGCACATTTGTAGGTCTTCTGAAACGTACCGGCAATATCTGGGCAGTGTTCCCTAGTAATAATGCTGAGAATCTCGGGCACGACCATTTCCGAAGCAAAGCAATGCGAGTTATGCAGAGCGAACAACTTCCAGAGCTCCAGCAGTTTCGGCAACAGCTCCAAAGCCTTCGCGTCCCGACATTCCGCTCTTTTCACCATCTTTAGTACATAGCCGCAGATTTCCTAATAGATACTTTCCAGTAAATTTCACGAATTTACCCCAGCGGTCTCAGTGTCAATTTGAAGCGGCATGGATCGTTCGAAAAGTTCCTTGACCATTGTTCGAAACTCCGCCGGGAACGACCGGTCGTTAGAATGCCTTTCCGTGGCCCGGTTGAGGAATTCGGTCTAAAAAATGATCAATGATTTCGAGTTTTTCCACTGACCATATTTTGCAACACTTTCTCGCATGTGTACCCAGGCTTCAGCATGTATTCCACCAATTCAAAGGCGTGCTGATCTTTCGAAATGAAGTTGGTAAAGAAGCGGAGAGCGTGCATATACTAAAACAAACTTATTGACAGCATAAAAATTTACGAACCTTCTGCGACGGGACCCCATGGACTGTCTTCGCAATACGCTTTTCAATTTCCAGTTTAAGTTCGTCAATTTGCTAAACAGATTTAATCTCGAGAAAGATATGTCACCTCTCCCTGGCCGGTCCTCGCAGAAAGCAGCAATATGTCCAAGATGGCCCGCCGATACTGCGACTGTGTCGCCAACAATTCGGCGAAGAACCTAAGGATAATAATTTCGAGATTCCCAGACAACATACGCTGCCTCGTAAGTTGTTAGCCGTGCGTACACCTCGAGTGCAACCGCGATGCGCCGATCACGAGGCAGTTGATATGGAATTATGGCGCCCACAAAGCGTCGCTCGATCAGCATCCTGAAAAATGAACACGTAATAGACTTACCACCATGCCGGCGAAAAAAACAAACAAGGATTCCTCACTTTTCATCTCTCATCTCCGGTTGAGAGTAAAGGTAAAAGATTTTCTTGGCGATTACAGAAATAGTCGCTCGATCATTTGTCGTGTACCTGTCAAAATCGCAGTCAGAACAACATTTCAAGGTACTATTGAAGTTGGGGGGCAAAATTTTTTGCGACCAATTTTCGTCATTCTCGGCTATTTTGTTCAGTTTTTAATGCTGAATTGAATGCAACTATTTTTAAAATTATTGGATTCGTTTTTCTGAATATTTTAGCAACATTTTTAATAGTAGTTTTATCATCGGGTTTTCGGGCGGTATACAGTAATGATGCCTAAAAGACACTCGATAGAGGTATAAAAGGCAACGTGGAGCGTTCAAAGTTTACTTTTCGCATTTAACTTGGCCAACACCATGGCCAACTCAATCGACGCGTTGCGCGACATAACCCTGCTCGAGCTCATGCCGAACAGTAATTTGGAAAGGATTCGTTCTTTCACTACTGGTCGCACGTCACGGAGGTTTATCCCTGCGAGTGAAAGTTGTTATGCTATTTTGTTGACCTAATTGTTACGTTGTTATTATCAAATAAATTTAAAAATAGTTGCATTCGATTCAGCATTAAAAACTGAACAAAATAGTCGAGAATGACGAAAATTGGCCGCAAAAAAATTTTGCCCCCCCCCAACTTCAATAGTACCCATTTCAAAATACCTCTCATCGCGGTAGATTTTCCAATGCAGCTTTGATAACTCCCGAATAGCATGTGCTCGTACTTTCGGCTTCTTGTCCATAATTCTCGAAGCAGCAGCCGCAATCAATTGTTCCGTGACAGCTTCTAGTTTGCGACAGCCGGCTAGCGATGTACTGGCCAGAGCAGCAATCCGCACTTCTTCATCCTCGTCAGCTAATAGTCGAATCAAGCGCTCTAAAAAGGGCCATATCCTGAATGGAAAAGTGATCTTACCGCACATAGTACCGGAAAGGGAGGGCTGGTCAACCAGCAATTCTCCGGCCTGTGCTGCACACAAGGCCCGAATATCCTTGTTTGCATCGGAAAAACTAAAATAATGATAATTCAGTATCAAAGTTTATCAAACCGTTTGAGAAAGTTCAGCCACAGTGCTTCCTGCTCGTCCGCAAGTCGCCCATTGTCATGACCGATCAGGACGCACATTATTTTGGTCGCTTTATATCTGACTTCCGAGTCAGGAGACTAAAAAACCCTGTAAGGAATGAGCGCACAAATTACCGATAAATGCTTTTGGAAGATTTGCAGGACAGGATAGGCCATTTCGGGCACCAACGCATGGATCTCGCAAATCACTTGGTAGAGCTTCGTCGCCGAGCCTCCACAAAGAGAAAAGTCGTCCGGCATCCGATTGGTCACGCCAACTTGCGCACAGAGCTGAAATAACCGTAACCAGTCGGTCACGGGCGCCTGACCTCATGAAACGGAGCAGAGAGTACGGTCGAAGCCGCCATGATCACCTTCTTCGCCAGGCGATAGCAATTCGGGGAATTCAGCTAAAACCATTTATTTTCGACGACAACTAGATATACCTTTGTCGGCGTCGTCAGGTTCACGAAAATAGCGTCCATCGCCTGATCCGATATCATCGGCACTTCGGTTAGAAGATTTGAAATGACCATCACGGACAGCGAAAGGATCTAGATCAATACTGTCGCAAAGATTGTTCCAATACTTGGATCACGGAGCCTTCCTTCTCGGCAACTTCGTCGAATTCGTCGCCATTGGCCGCCGGTTCAGGCTTCTCTTCGGCATCTTCATCGAGAGGCGGTTCAGCACTTCCCTCCTTGGCTGGATCCTAAATACGCCGTTGCAATGAAAACATGAGCAAGTACCTTCAATTTTCCAGCAATGCCAAATAGCGTCACGATGGTATGCCGCAAAAGTTCCTGTTGGTCCTTCTCAGAGATTTCAGTGACTAAACCCAGTGTCCCCATCGCGTAAAGATTCTAAAGAGCATGGTGTGTCTCTCGAATCAGATATACCTCTAGAATATAGTAATGCCGCCGGTAGATAGCTGAATCAGGTTTTTCGAGTCCACGCAGGCCATCAATAAGACAAGTTAATGCTTTCTAAAAAAACCGTTGGAGATAAGAATGTGTCAAACGTTTGTATCTTCCGGCCTGATGAAGGGATTATTGGGCGATGAAAGCCGAAAGATGCCCGCCAGGCAGTTGGCGATGTACACCTAAAGATCATAAATGCAACGGGATTGAGCATACCTGGATTTCTCGATTCGAGTGTGCAACAAATTCATCTTTGATCAAGTGTTGGGCGAGCGGTCGAAATTTTATATCAGCGCTTTTGGTCGTCTCGGTGTCCAGCGTCATGAATGTATTCGTCATCGCCTAAAACCGGTTCAAAAAATTAAAAGTATACTAACGTTCAGCTTTTTGATCAGTTCGCTGTCGCGCATCTCTGGTGATACAGGCCCGCATCCTGGCGGATATTCTATTGAAGAGTCATTTGCTCGCGGCATTTCTAAAAGGAAGGATAGTCCTATCCCATAAGAATAACGAAAAACGAAAGTGTAAGCCGGACCCAATTTGGAGAAGCTGTGAAAAAGATTTTCAGCGCAATTTTGAAAGCTGAATGGGCAAAAGCCTATTAGCCCGCACTATGCTACAAGCCTAGCTAATGGGGTCCGATCGAGTGACACCAAAATGCTATGCACAGAGGCGAAAGGCGCGGGAAAGAAAGTCTGAAACGCTAGCAAAATGGCAGAGAAGGCTGACAGAAGTATCGAAAACAAAAACAAATGGAAATCCAACCATTTGACGCTGCTACAGATCGCAGAGACCCGGTTAAACGATTTATCCGAAAAGTAAGTCCATTGTAGCATTTAAAAAACACCGACAGCTCGGAACGCATAAACACAACACAACCAATTGATATCCCGAGCCCAAGACAAAGTATAAAATAAATGTACAGCTTTAGGTAGAAGAAATCTAATTTCCGCGCGCAGCCTCGTCTGCTCGTGTCGGTTGAGGAGCAGGCGGAGGACGGCTGAGAGGAGCGATCTCGGGATTTGCTTCACCATCGAAGGCCAGCCCAAGAATTGCCGGGTCTTGGACCTAAAGAGAAAATAGTTCGTCGAAGTAAACGGCATACTCTTGCATTTTCCGCATTGAAGCCAGCTTGCATAAGCGTGTCCTCATCGTTCAAACGCACCCATCGCTCGTTGTTCAGCCACATCAGCGTGAAAGTGGCCGGGTCTTTCTGAATGAGTTGCGAATATTCAAAAATTGATTACCTCGAGTAATTTCTGAGGCCACTTCTTCAGATCGGCAACGGGACGATCGCTGATGATCGAGGCCATGATGTGGCTTTTTCGCCATCGGAGTTCGAAGTGGCATTCGACGGGGATTCCCAAATCCTAGAAAAACAAGGTATTCTCATAAAGAAGAAACCTACAGCCATTTCAATAGTTGCAACGTTTTGTCGTTCAGCGATGGGCGGAAACAAAATCCCAAAAATTATTTTTGGTACGTGCCGGCACGAATTTTGGCGTGTTCGCAATGCTCCAAAGGACGCTAACTACCCGTCCCAGTTACAAATTACGTTCAATGTAGCGAAACGGAACGCCTCTGATTTTTTTGAATTTTCCACTTTTGTATAGCGGTGTTTTTCATTATGATTTTAATTAGATTTTTAATTCAAAACTATTGCTTGCCGAAAAGTTGATGAAATCCGCTGTTCCAGATGGATACTTCGGGCTTCAACAGCGATTTTACCGAGTCACCCTCCAAAGCGGAACAACGGCAACAGGAGCAAGCTCAAATCCGCGAATTCTTGGCGGAGCAGCCTCCGGCTGGCCCATCGTCTTCGGAGGATGAGGTGACAATTTTTCTTGGCTTATTTATGTTTTAGGTTGAGACAGAAGATCGCACTTTCGAGCGCCAATTAGATGTTCAACGCGACCATGGTAGTTATACTGTTTGCCCTGTTGTTGACCTTGAAAGCGCCCGAAAAGCAGCCGAGGTTTTTGTGTTTTGGTAGTAAGATATCAATATTTTCAGGTGATGGCCCTGCGGGCGGAGATCGAAGCTATTTTTGCGTCCATAAAGACCGAAGCCGAAGAACACCTGGCGTTGAAGAAGGAGGTAATTATTCGTGCTTTTCGATGATTTCGAAGTTTAGCTTCTTCTCGAGATCGGCGTGACAGCATCCAAGTGTATGGACGAGCGAGATAAGGCAAGAAAAAACATTTGTTCGTAAATACTTGTTAAGGCCTTCGGCCTGATTGCGAACATCATGAACACGGATAATATCAATGAGGCGACCCCTTCAGAATAGAGGAATTCACGAATGTATTGCTCTCACATGAATTGAATTTTACTAAATAAAGAACTTTTGCACGACTTTTGCAGCACCTTTTCATGGATAGAACCCGGTGTGTTAAAAAGGCTATTACAAAATACTATTTTGTGTGATCGATGCTTATTATTTTTGTTTGGAGGGTACTATCGCCTACTATCGATGGCCTTGATCCAGCGTCTGCCGCAGGAAGTGGTAAATCGGATTGCAGCTGGTGAAGTGATTGTGCGCCCAGCTAATGCCGTCAAGGTTTTTCTCGTCTTTCTTCTGAAACGCTTGTTAGGAGTTGATCGAGAATTCCTTGGACGCGGGTGCAAAGAAGATTAGTATCAAAATCGAACGGGGCGGAATAGATCGGATTTGTATTGAGGTGGGCGAGCTGTGCGTTGCGAATTGCTTTAGGACGATGGCTGTGGTATTCCCTACGACTCATTGCCCATCTTGTGCGAGCGCTTCACCACTTCGAAACTGCAAAAGTTCGAAGACTTGCGAGCCATGGAGACATTTGGATTCCGTGGGGAAGCGTTGAGTTCGCTTTCACAGGTCTCGAAAGTATGTTCCTTACACCGTTTTGCTAGTCTGGAAATTTAGGTTTTCGTTCGTACGAAAATTCAAAGCGAGCCACTGGGCGTCTCGGCGAGCTACATTGGTATTGTCTTTGCCTCGGCCATATGTTGGATCCTTTTTTAGACGGCAAACTGCAGGAGCAAAGTCAATGTGCGGCGCTCGATGGGACCATCATCGATGCTCGCCAGTTATTCTACAACAACTCTACGAGACTTTTGGTACGTGGAAAATTTGGCTTATGATAAAGTGCGTTTAGGCGTTCAAGAATGTTGCAGAGGAAACGAGCAAAGTCGTTGAAGTCGTGCAACGTTTTGCGATTTTACACCCGTAAGATTGAATTTTTGGCGCGGATCTTTTATTCAGGAGCGTGAGATTCAACTTGAACCACGGAAAGTCGCTATCCACGAAAGGAAATGGGGATCGGAAGGCTGTGATTGCGACGCTTCTAGGACCAGAATACGCAAAAGTAACGACCCTAGCGTTTTTGGAGAATTCACCATCAGGATATGGTACCGCTCGAGCTGTCGAGTGCGAAGCTTCACTACAAATTGGATGCACTGGCTTCGAATCCGATCTCTCTCGTCACGGCTCAATCAAACCCGGGGAAGAAGGTATTCCTAGGATCTTTTTCGAAATAGAAATTTGTTTGCAGAAATATTTCGTGCTGTATGTGAACAACCGAATCGTACACAGTGACTACTTTAAACGGGCGATTGACACCGTTTTTGCCGATGCGAATATGGCCTACTTGTTCCTGTACATGGACTTGCAGGTATATTTGTTGCTCTAGCTTGTCACTTTTACAGATCGAGCCTTTCTGCATTGATGTAAATGTGCATTCGTCGAAGGAACGCGTCGAATTCCTGAATGGAGATGCCATTATTGATGAAGTGAAGGAGGTGCGGGCATATTATTCGGACAATGCCATTTTCAGGCTCTTCGCACTCGTATTTTGCGCAGTACAGCCACCCAGGATACGTCGAATAACTTAAGCCAAACGGTCATACGGAACTTTACAGTGTCCTTGGTGGAAAAGTGGGAATTTTTCTATTCGCAAAATGATACCGTTTTAGAGGACCCCCGAGTCCAAGTCCTTCGGCTTCAGAGACAAGTCTTGTTGCGAGTCCACTAACCACTAGACCGGAGAATGTGAGGGTTTTTCTTAATTTTTAAAAATTACGAAATACTCGACAAATGCTAGCCGCTAATTAGATGCAATTTTTTCAAGTTCTAATTTTTGTAAACAACTATGTAAAATTTCCTTTTAGCACCTCCGAACGGATTACAGGCAACAACGTCTTGATCATTTTCGCCTGGAACAGCTGGAAAGTCAGCCAACGCAGCTTATTGAAGCGACAGATCATGTAAGCCGGCTTCAAGATCCGATCATCTTCCAGGAGGACGACGCCCTATCCAATCGGCTCGCCGAGCAGGTGGCGAAACTGCGCGAGGCCGCGATGATTGGCATCTCGACAGACTTTTTGGATAATTTTAAAGCAAGCCCTTTTTTTACTAAACTTGACGTTGTTCAGCAACTGGTCCTTGTTGGCGCTATTGATTGCGAGCATGTTCTGATGCACGATGCAGCCAACCGGCTCGTTTTGCTCGATTTTGTAACACTTACGCAGGAACTTTTTTACGATGTAGGTTCCTTCTGCAGGTGCTTATATTTCGTTTAGATTTATATTTTTGGCTTTGGCCATCTCGGGTCATATGAAATACAGTCACCCTTGGATGTGCGCAGATTATTGTCGGCCAGCTCTAATGACATTGACATTGATGAGGTATATTTATTTTCTTACCAGGCAATCTTCAGAGATTTAGACCATCGAATTTTTCAAAGCACACGAATGCATCATGAGAAGATATTTTTCGGTCGAGTTTTTGGTGGAAGAAGGTAACACCTTACTAGGGACGTATCTGAACTCGGCATCGAACTTTGAAAAACCAGATGCACCATTCGACGCGCCTTGTCGAGGGAATTCCAAATATGTAATAAAATCAACCAGAGCGTATAACCGTAAAAAGTTATGAGCATTTTAAATCGACAAAATGGTGAAAAACAGTATCTTTGAGACCCTGTATCATCCCGCGGAATGAAATTTAGCCTAAACTGATTAGTGCTCCTTATTCAACAAAGAAAGCTCTTTCAAATGAGCTATATTACATACAGCTGCCAAAAATTTCCGTAAAAAAATATTTTTGGAATGCAGCGTAAGGGTAGGGTATGGCCAGCTGCCGAAGGCGTTTCGAGAATTTCGCGTAAAGCCTATGTAAGATAGCTCATTCGAAAGAGAATTTTCTGCTGATCAAGATGTACTGTTCTATTTTCGACAAATTACATTCTTCGAATTCGTACAGAGTCTTAAAAGGGCGGTTTTAGATGATTTTGCCAACTTTGATATAGAGAGCGTCCAATCCTGGTCTTGTTGCCCGAGATTTTTTATCATCGCTGGTGCCTTTTAGGGGTCACACAGTCAAGAAAAACTTATTCCCGAGTTTGGAAATGCAAAAAGTAGGAACTGGTCAAAAAGCAAAAATAAAAATCGAGGGTGGATCCGAACCCTGGTCGTACAGACCGGAGACCCATGCGCACACCACCAGGCCACGGGGCCGATGAACAGGGTGGACTGGGAGGGGCTCATATCGCCGCGGCGGAATTCGCTGCAAAACTTAAAATGCTCATAACTTTTTATCGTTATAGGCTCTGGTTGATTTTATTACATATTTGGAATCCCCTCGACAAGGCGCGTCGAATGGTGTATCTGGCTTTTCAAAGTTCGATGCCGAGTTCAGATACCTCCCTAGTTAGTCGATTGTGCCAAGATTAATTCTAGAAAACCTACTTCTTTCGAAAATCCCCTCGCTCTTGGACGGCTACTGCCCACAACTTGAACGAATCCCAGAATTTCTTTCTGACTTGTTGTCCATCCAATTCACCGAGGTATCTGGGCAACGGAAATGATCGGGCAATACTGCATTTCCAGGATGGTTTTGATATCGGCGATGCGGCTCGCAGCACCGCTAAATTTTTCACGTTGAAAAAGGAGTTTTGTGAAGATGGAAAGATCAACACATTGCTGGGAGCGGCCGCCCAATTTGAATCGTTTGCAGACGTTATTCGGGTAGATCCGCGTCTACGGTAGAAATCATATTTTTTTAGTTATTATTGCTACCCCGTATGAAGAAACAGCTGATTCCGCCCAGCCACTGGGCATACGATGGGGCAGCGCCATCGCCCTTCAGATGGGTCACTTCGAATTCGGATATTTATAAAGTATTTGAGAGATGTTAGATGTATGGTCTTTTACGTTGATAAATTTTGGTTTCCATTTCCGGGGGCGCGTGAAAGCAGATAATGGGGCATACCGAGTTTCGCTTTAGATAGACGAGCTGTTTTTTGTCAAATTTCTGGGTTAGAAAAAAAAACCGAGTTCTTGGACGTTTGGCCAGTTGATATCGAAGTTCGTATTCCGCGGATTGAACTCTAGAGTTCTCGACAGCTGTTTGCTGGGCCCCCTCCCCGTTTTTGTTTTGTCGGGATTATTTGTGGTTTGGGGAGGGCAATGGCCCAGTTGCGAGGGTATAAAAGCTGTAGTTTCTACGCCGAATCCGCTTGAAACAACTTTTTGATCCATAATTCCGTTTTCTAATGTGAAGCTTATCAGGAAGCATGCCCGGCGCACGTTTGGGCCATAAAAGGGCGGCGTGCCGGGTCGACGCCCCTAATGACGCCGGGAAATGTCGCGGACGGATTCCTTTGCGTTTTGTTCTGTACTCATCTTCTTTTTAGGGCGATCAGTGCCAACCCAGAATTTTTCTTTTTTTAGCGGATGAGGCTCTGGGTAAATTTTTTCCTATTCCTCGGATTAGCAGTGTTATCATGGGCTGAGGATGATAAGCTAAGGTAAGTCGACGGAAACAAATAGATTGACTATTTATAGATTCGATTGTCACCCCGAAAAAGATGCCAACAAGGACAACTGTGAGGCCAGAGGCTGCATTTGGTCGCAACATCAGTCAGTGAGTTTGATAGGCCGGCGGGCTTATTTAGATTTTAGTAAAATTCAATAAGGCAAAGTTTAGTAAAGTTAATCATTTTTTTGGGCGAAAAGCTTGATCTAGCTTGGATTTAAAGCCACACATCTTTCGGATATATACTTTTAAAGTGCATTGTAGGAAGACACGTTCCTCCCATGGTGCATCCAGAATCGCACGGCGATCGGCTACCGGGTAACAGCTCAAAATGGGAACACGGTTTCACTACAGGTTCGAGTGGCTTGAAATTTCCATGAGACGGGTTTAGAAAAACTCTGGCCCTAAATCTCCGTGGGACCAAGACATTGCGACGATTACGATGAAAACGAAGGATATCGACAACGTGCTAAATGTATGGATTGGCGTTGAAGGGCGGTGAGTTTTTCAAAAAATCAAATATTTTAAAATAGGCCTCAAAATACCGTTTATTTGATTAATTGAGTTGCCAAAGTCATATAAATAAGTAAAGGTCGATTATATGACTATTGTATAAACAAAATTAGAATGGAAAAAGGAATAATTACTCTAATCTGGTGTTTAGCGATAGAGAGGATACCATAAATTCAATATTTATGCATAATGTTAAATAAAAAAATCAACAAAATTCCAGCTTTGAGCCGCAACTCGATTTACCCAAGGAGACGGTGCCCGGCTCGGACTCGCTATTCGTGACCATCAACAACACCACGGACCCGTTCTCATTCACCGTGAACCGGAAGAGCAACCAGCGAACGCTATTCGACACCAGCATTGGTGCGTCCAGAAAAAAAACATTTTTGACGCCCAAATTTAGAAGATTTTTAAACTCATTTTTACAGGCGGGCTCATTTTCACGGACCGCTTCATCCAGATCGCCACCTATCTGCCGTCGGACCGGATGTACGGATGGGGCGAGAATATTCACCAAACGATTAACGTGCGCAAAATCCTGGAAGGAGCAATAAAAATTCGTTTAGCACGACTTGAGCCGATATTTGAGGTGGGGTATGCTGGCCCGGGACGAGCCGCCGAATAGCCATGGTGTCGACACGAAGAATCTCTACGGTAGATCGTTTTTTTAAACTTTTGAACAAAAACGTTGAAGTATATTGTATATACTGTTTTTTATCGATTTAAATTTCAAAAGGTTTAAAACTTAGTCTAGACAAAGTCAACAAACTTCATTTAAAGTCAAGTTTTTTAAAGTTTTCAGGCGTGCACCCCTTCTATATGGTCCTCGAGCCCGATGGCAAGGCGCATGGTGTGTTGATTCTGAACAGCAACGCCCAGGCGAGCATTACCCTCGTAATAAAAATTTAGCGAATTCAGGACTTGACGACGTTGCCCTACCCGGCGCTGATCTACCGGACGATTGGTGGAAATTTGGACATGTACTTCTTCCCGGGACCCACCCCCGAAGACGTTACCCGCCAATACTACAACTTTATTGGGCGCCCGTTTTTGCCAGCGTATTGGGCCCTAGGATATCAGGTAGAATTAAGAATTAACTGAAATTAGTTAAATTGGTGAGAAGCTTATAAAAACTTTTGAAAAAAGGCCACTTAAATAACTTCAGCTCTGCCGCTACGGGTATAAAAGTCTGGACGAGGCCAAGTCGGTGATCGCCGACGTTCGCGCGGCCGGCATCCCGATCGACGTGGCGATGTTTGACATCGACTACATGAATCGATACAAGGACTTTACAGTTGGGGATGTATGTACTTTTTTAGCGCCTTTTACTTGTCCTACATAATGTATCGTCAAGGGATAATTCTTAGAACTGGTCCGACCTGTCCTCCTACACGTCGGTGATGCACAGCTGGGGAATGCGCCTGATTCTGATTTGGGATCCGGCGATTCAAGTGGATTATGACCCCTACCAGAGAGCGATCGCTGCGGTGGGCGAAAGGGATTAAAATCAATTAAAATTGGAGTTTTAAACGATTATACTGTTCAAAAATTTCGTGTTCAGGGCGCCAAATTCATCGAGTGGGACCAGAAAAGCCAAGTGCAAAACCAGATCAACGATCTGTACCCGTTGACGAAGGACACGACGACCATGTTGGGAGTTGTAAGTGCAGGATATTTTTCAAGGATAAATCTTTTCCAGGTATGGCCCGATCGTCACGTGGCGTTCCCGGACTTCCTCGACCCGACCGGCAAGACGTTGCAGTGGTGGCGGGATGAGTTCAAGCGATTCCACGATCAGGTGGCTAAAATTGGTCGTATAACAAAATGTGGTTATCTCCTGCAGGTGGCCTTCGACGGCAGCTGGATTGATATGAATGAGCCGTCGGTGTTTGGGACAAATGATCAGCACCCATGGTAGGTACCGGGTTGTTCAAGGCTAGAAGTACCCAGTAGCATAGCAATAGTTAGTTTCACAGTGTGCTTGAGTAAATTTAACTATATTGAAGTGGAAAACTTTCTAAAAACGTTAAAAATTATAAAAATGGACGTTTTGGTCAAAAAAACGACATTTGTTGTATTTTTCATAAAAATTGTCACGTTTTTGCGTCTAGTAGAAGCAAAAAAAACAGTGTAAAACTCTTGATCTGTTTCTATTTGAACAATTCGATCCCAAAGAAAATACTTGTGGGTTTTTTAGTCAGTAATGTTATGACAAGCCCCCCCCCCCCCCCCCGATAATGCGAAAGAACCTATATATCATATTATATTATTATCATAACTATATAGGTACTTCGACAACCCGGACCACCCCGATGATCCGCCGCTCTTCTGCCCGACCACCGGAGATGATGCCTACTGGGAGAACGCACCCTACCTCACCCAGACCGCGTTCAACTTTGATGGGGTAAGCAGAAAATCGACAAAAAGCCAATTTTAAGTCTTGTAGTGTATTTGGTAATCCGCACGAGTCGCTATATCCCCACTATTTTGTTTTTACGAGACTTTTCAATTTTTTAGGGCGCGCTCTGGACAAAGACGCTGTGCATGTTGGCGCGGACGGCCAACCGCACCCAGCGCTTCTACAACACAAAGGTTGCGATATTCCAAGGTTCCATTAATTTTTTATATTTATAGAATTTATACGGTTGGTCGGAAGCCAAGGCGACAATCGACGCGCTGCAGGGAACGACGGGGCAGCGTGGCGCTGTCATTACGAGGTATTATTGATTGTTGTGGATCTGGAAAATTTACAACTTTATCAGGTTTTTAACATTATTAAATCATCTAAGTTGGTTTTTTTCAGAAGCACTTTCCCGTCAATCGGACGCTACGCGGGGCACTGGCTAGGTGACAACACGGCCAGATGGGATGACCTGAAGACGTCGGTCGTCGGTTTGCCTTTTTTAGAATAATAGATTCCATGATTCTTCAGGCGCCCAAGAATTCAACCTGTTCGGCATCCCGTACGTCGGCTCCGACGTGTGCGGCTTCATCTCGGCGACAAACGAGGAGCTGTGCTTGCGGTGGCAGCAGATGGGCTCGTTCCACTCGTTCTTTAGGTGAGTAAACGCTTAGGAATTACTTTTTCACTGAATATTTGTAGAAACCACAACGACAACGGCTCGCCGCCGCAGCAGCCCACCGTTTGGCCGAGCGTGGCAAACGCGACGCGAAAGGCGAACCTTTATCGCTACCAACATTTGCCGTATTTGTTTTCGTACGTTTTTAAGGCGTAACTGGCGAGACCAGCCGTCTTTCCAGATTGCACTTTGCGGCCTCGTTGCGCGGTACCCCGGTGATACGCCCCGTGTTCTTCCACTATCCCACCGACGAATACGCGGCCACGCTGTCGCATCAATTCATGTGGGGTCCGGCTATCATGGTGGCCCCCGTCACGGACCCGGTCAGTAGTAGCTTCATGTCTCAATTCATCTTTTCTAACTTTTTCCTAGCATAAAACTTACAAATTTTCATTAAATTGTTAATTTTAGATCGAAAAATTGTGCTTTCGAGCGAAAATCACAAAATTTTCGGCTTTTCGTGAAGCTTTTCTAACCCTTTTTCAAAGTATTCCTGGTTATAATTTAGTTAAAAATTAGAAATTACAGCAACTAAACTAAAATAATAGAAAACATTTTGTATTAAGATTGCTAAGGTAGCCTCGCCCCCACAGGAAAAAGTCGGTTTACAGTCAAAAGAACGACAACATTTTCAGGGTGTAATGACGCAGCGGGTCTATTTGCCGTCCGACACTTGGTACTCCATCTACGACTACAAGCAGAACCTGCGCGTCGCCAGCGGGTACGCCGATTGCCAAGCGCCCACCACCTACGGCGTGCCGGCCTTTATTCGAGGTAGGCGGATTTATAAAGCGTGTAAAACTGGTCTAATCATGACTTTCAGGCGGCTACATCGTACCCCGGCAAACACCAGACATCACAACGGAAGCCGCGCGGAAAAACCCGTTCGGGCTTCTAGTGGCTGTCGGTGGGTTTTTAGATAAGAATTATCCGGATTAGCGATTTTGAGGACGGGGTATAACAGGCAATGAAATATTCAAGATTCAGGAGCTAATCATACGGCATCTGGCGAGCTATTCTGGGACGACGGCGTCTCCATCGTTGACGATATCCGCCAGGCAAACTACTACAGCTTCAAGTTTTCGTTTGCCGACTTGCCGACATCGGGATTGCTGACGATTGAGGCTGTTAGTGTGGCGGTAGGTGTTTTTGGAGAATAGGATTTGGCTTTTGCATAGAAAGTTTTCGAAAATGCAAATATACGATTACAAAAACGCGGATTTTTTCTGTTTTCCCAGGATCCAAATAAATAGAGGAAATGTTTCTAAGCTGTTTTTACTGGCACTAAACGTGAAAAACCAGAAATTTCGATTAAAAATACAAAAATATGAATTTTTCGATCATTTTTATTGTTTTGCCACCTTAAATACAGTGATTTTTGAGTGAAAACACGTTACTACGCTTGCTTTAGCTTACCAGGAAAAAAATAATTAGTCCCCCCGCTAATGGAAAAGAACCGTCCTCATAAACTTTTGCATAGAAAGTTTTCGAAAATGCAAATAGACGATTACAAAAACCCGGATTTTTTCTGTTTTCCCAGGATCCAAATAAATAGAGGAAATGTTTCTAAGCTGTTTTTTACTGGCCCTAAACGTAAAAACCCAGAAATTTCGATTAAAAATACAAAAATATGGATTTTTCGATCATTTTTATTGTTTCCACCTCAAATACAGTGATTTTTTTTGTGTGAAGACACGTTACTACGCATTCTTTAACTTACCAGGAAAAAATAATTATTCCCCCCCGCTAATGGAAAAGAACCGTCCTCATCAATGGCATTTTAGAAAAATCTGCCACTACCCACGCTCGATGAGATCATAGTGCTCGGCTATACAAACCAGCCGGATCTGACGAAAGCCACGCTGAACGGCCAACCCATCAACATCAATGTGCAGACGAGCGGATACAGTCCACTCACGCAGGCACGTTTTTAAGGGTTCAGCAAGCCAAGATTGGCGATATCTTGTTCAAAATCCGGTCCGTGCGCTGCACAATTACATAGCTTAACGCACGGATTTCATAAATAAATTGTAGAAGCAAGAGGAATTTTTGTAGATTATTTCTCTTGTTTCACCTCCCAAAAATTGCCAGATTTCAGGTGCTCACCATCCGAACCCAAGGCCTGATCGATTTGACCAAGTCCACGGCATTCAGTCTCAAATGGCCCGTCGTGAAGCTGGGCAACGAGTTGAACAACAACAAGATCAACAACGATCACCCACACCAAGAGCTGATTTGAAGCAGATGATACTATGTAAAGTTGAAAATATGAATAAATGCGCTTGCTTTTATTCGAAATTTATCCTATTCTTGTTGTTTTTATTCGAAAAACTTATTTGTGTGCTGACTTGCTCTAATTTTACTAACATTCGGGAGCATGACCGCAAAGAAACGGGAGTGGACGGATCTCGGCAACAGTTATCCACCCGTCACTTTTTCGCACCAGCGGCATCGCGGCACTGTTGGTCAGATTATTCGAATTGGGAGCGGGTTGGCCTAAAAATGGCGCATTAACCTGGAGTTATTTCCATTTTAAAAGGTCGCGCTTCAGAATGCCGAAATCGGTTTTTAATAAATTTAGACGCTCTGAATTTCGCTATCAAAATTGCTATCATTATTGGAATTTTTTGGCGTCGAAAAGCATTTTCTGGAGATGTCATTTTGTCGGCATTTCACTTTGTCGACATTTTAGTACTTTCGCAATTTAATTTTGTCGAAATTACATTTGTTTGAAATGTCATTTCGTCAAAAAATCACTTTTTTCGGTATTTTTTCATCTGAAACAGTTCGAAAATCGACAGTGTAGCGTATTTATTTTTCGGCAAAGTCAAGTCGGCCTGAATTTCGTCGTTTTAACTTTCGATAAAATCAAAATACCCCATGAATTTGACATTTTGAAACCAATCTGTAGTGAATTACAAGTGTAGTACAGTAGCAAGACGATACGGTGTATTTGGGTGGAGAGCCAATGCCTTGTGAACTCTGTTTATTGAACTATCGGTATCGCTTTTATAGGCCATGGCGGGCATTTGCATCTTCGTATAGCGGGGGTTCCCACGGTGGTCCGGCGGCTCCTGCCGGGCCCCGACTGTACGATTGAGATTTGAGGTCGCTGTGGCGACACTCCCCGGCGCGGCGAGGTGTCGTGGTAGTAGTCGCAGTCGTCGTTTTTGTGGTGATTGTCGTTGTTCCGTCGCAGAGGCGGCCTCCCCGGGCGAGAAGCTTTGGGCGAGGCTGTGATGGGTGTGATGATCTGGGGGCTCCGAGACCAAGCGGATTTGTGGGTGCGCGTTTGGAGGCGCCGTCGCTGCTGTTGTCAGAGTTGCGGTTGTTGGGAGAGGGCTTGTCGAGGTAGAGCTGCATGGTGATTGGATTGTCGAGGTCAGTCTTGTCGTCGGCGGCGGTCGGGTCCGAGGGGCTCAGCGTCGCGTCCTCGGTGGTCTTAGTCTTCGGGTGGTGATGGAGAGATTGTGAAATTGCTTCATCTGGCGTCCTGTCTTCGGCATAGGCTTCGACGTAGGCTTCGTCGCTTTCGTCTGGCGACCTGTCTTCGGTAGGGGTTTCGTCGCTTAGAGGTTTGGAGGTTGGCTTGGGTTGGCTTGTTTGCTTGTCCGAGGATGGAGAGCCGGGTGCTTCTGCGGAAGTCGGCGAGAGTTCTTGCATGGAGCGTTCGGCAGTGGTAAGTGGTGATGAAGGTGGCGGTTCGGGATTGATGTTAGGGGCGACGGTCTTCTGGAGGGAGAGAGTTCTGTTGCTGACAGGGTCGATTGGAGTCGATTCAAGAGGTGAAGCTGAGTTGGGAGAGCCGCGGTCGGGCTTTGAGATGTCCGGGTTGCGGGTGGCTACGGCGGTGACTTCGGCTTGCGGTGTTGTTTCTGGGCTGAATCCTTTGGGCCTGGCGGTTGGGGTCACGTCATCGATGTTGGAATTTCGGAGTTTGTAGTGCTGGCTTGGGAATTTGGTTGTGTCTTGATGAATGATATCTTTCTTGGTTGGGAGGAGACTGGGGTCGACGTTGTCTTCTCTTTCAGTGGTGAATGAAGCGTAGATGTAGTCGTTGATGACTGGAGATTGGTGATTGAAGTGCCGTGATGGCGACGGTCCGCTTGAATGGGACGTTGGAGATGTGTTCTTGTGGTGGTGATTAGCAGGATCGTGAGGTCGCATCCTGTTTGATGCAGTGTCGTCTGCTGGTGATTGGGAGGCTTGTGGCTGTCCTTGAGTGTAGTTGTGGGTGATTGGCGGTGGGGCTTGGTTATGGGCTTGGTACATCCCGGAACTTGGATTGGGTCGAAAGTTATTCGATGCTGGTGGTTGGGAGGCTTGTGATGGACGGTATCCTTGGGTCGATTCGTGGTTGATTGAAGGCGGCCGCTGCGGGGCCTGGTCCAGTTGGAGGACGGGTTGGGGTTGAGGTAGGCATTGTTGGATATTGAAACTTGGTTGGCCTTCTTGTGGCTTGACTTGTGATTGCTGGTTCTTGTATATCCGGCTTGGTTGCGGAAAAGGCCAGTCGTTCGGTAGCAGGTGATTCTCTTGCGGCGGAGAATTGTAGGTCATTGGTTGATGTGGAGCGTCGGGGCCGCTGATGGTTGTGGCGGCGGGTGGTGGAGTGATTGGGGTGGTGTGGCAAGTTATTGCCGGTGTTGGGGTCCTCCTGTTGCGTCGTGTCCTTTCGGGGGATTTTATGGGCATCTTCTTGGTGGCCTGATCGGGATTGTAGCTTTCAAGTTCGGTCTGGTATGGGATCCGGGCCTGATCGATCTGGCAGCATAGAAGTTCGATGCGTTCCAGGGTGTTCATCGGTTCTTTCGAGACGTTATACGCTTCGAATTCTAGTTCGAGCATTTGACGCGTGGCCTGGGATGCTACGTCAATAGCCGTGGCCCAGTCGGATAGGCGGGAGTCAATCTGGTGGTGGAGTTGTGTAATTGATGCGTAGTGGAACTGGAGTTCTTCGATGACTCGTCGTATCTCGGTATAGGACATTTGACTGGGCGGCTTGAGGGCTGAGAGCCTTTGCTCGATGAGATCGCCTTCCTTGTCGGCCAAAGGCATCGTTTCGGATATCTCTCGCTCGCATTGGGCAATTGACATGGTGTCGGACGTATGGACAGACAAGGAGGACGACAGTTATGAACGGACAGAAATAACAGACATTGAACAGAAAGTCACAAAATAAAGGGAAAACTCGAAAATTAAAAAAAAGTTGGAGTAGGAAATCAGGTGTTTTGAAACAAATTTTCCCCTTTTGCAAATGAAAATGGAACAAAATTCAGAACTTGCGTAGCATGAAGATTGAGGGTGGTCCTGTGGTCGCCATTTTGTAGTGAATTACAAGTGTAGTACAGTAGCAAGACGATACGGTGTATTTGGGTGGAGAGCCAATGCCTTGTGAACTCTGTTTATTGAACTATCGGTATCGCTTTTATAGGCCATGGCGGGCATTTGCATCTTCGTATAGCGGGGGGTTCCCACGGTGGTCCGGCGGCTCCTGCCGGGCCCCGACTGTACGATTGAGATTTGAGGTCGCTGTGGCGACACCAATCAATGACTATAGCGCTACCTGGTCCCCAATGTAAGTAGTCAACTCGGCTCCCGTCCCAATACAGCCACACTTCATCCCGACGTCGGATACCCAGATAATATTCATCCGCAATCACTCTCGTCGACGAATTCGACCACAAGTATAGATTTTTATTGACGAAGATGTTTGGGATTTTGTAGGGGATGCCGCTGGCGTTCCGGCATTTCTCCACACCATCTTCGAAATTTTTGGCTGAAAGGGGAAGGCTTACAAGGAAACCTGGCCAGCACTAGCTCAGGCTGAAGTATCAAGCATACCTCTCAAAAAAGTGAAACAAGCCGGATTGTCCCGTACAGTATAATAGCCGACAGGGCAACAACATATGCTGAGCCCAAGCGCCCAGCTTAACAAGTAAATTTTGAAATGCATGGCGTGACAAATGAGAGCGAGTCTGTTATCAAAAACCACTAGTGCCACTCTGCCTTATTATACTAACCCAACACGCTACCCGATTCTGATAAGAAGCCACGATTTACCTGGTACGGGTTGTATTTCGTGGAGAGGAAAAGATACGCGGGGAGAAAAATTGTATGTATCAATATTTATAGAAAATGGCTTTGAAAAATGGGCTACATAGATGCTTTCCTTAATCGGTTCTGCTCCTCAATGGTCTCTGCTAGCTGTCCTTAATGGTCTCTGCTAGCTCTCCTCAATAGTCTCTGCTAGCGCTCCTCAATGGTCTCTGCTGGCTCTCCTCAATGGTCTGCTATTTCTCATCAATGGTCCCTGCTAGCTCTCCTCAATGGCCTCTGCTAGCTCTCCTCAATGATCTCTGCCAGCTCTCCTCAACCAAAAACAAGCTCAATCTAGCTTCCCTCTAGGTCCATTTCAAGTGGCCAGCTAGCCAGCTCATGGCTTTTCCTTCTCAAAAGTCATCTGGAGAGTCTTGTTGGCCAAGTGGCGGACATGAAAAAATGGGATTTAAGCGGGGGGAAAAGGGGGGTTGAGAAAAAGAGGGTGAACAGGGGGCGTTGTTCGGGCACTCATCCCCCCTCCTCGGTTGTATGTATGTTGCCCGTATGAGAAGGGGGACAAAGCGGGGCCTAGGATGGGCCCTTGGTTGGGCCCTAAGCATCCGTGGCCCCGGCTTCTCCCCCCAGCCACTGACCACCACTCAAAGTGACGGGCCGTGTGTCAATTACCACGCTGACTCGGTGTCGCCATTCGGCGTTTCGGTGGTGGCCCATCATATTGGCGGGGCCAAACCGCAGCCAATCACTTTCGTCTTCAGATCAGGAAACTACGCGTCAAATTAGGGGGCTAGGGAAGTCGGGGGGACCCGTGAAGCTGATTTGTTGTCAAATTCAAATGAGACGCTATGCAATTGGCCGCCGCGCGCCGTCACGCGTCCGCAACGCGTTCGAAGCTTCTCGGCTTCTACGCTAGCAATTTTTCGCTTTTCCGGATGCTAGGCTTCCCTGTTCCTTTGAAATTTTAGGGCTTACCGGCGGCTTTCAATTATCTCTGATCTCTTTCTCTTCATCTCTCCCCCTCGCTCTCTCGCGCGCTCCTCCCTATCTCTCTTTTTCCCCTTTGCTCTCTCCCTCTCTCTCTCACTCCCTCTCTCTCGCTGTCTGTCTCTCTTACTCTCTATGAGAACAACTTCTGTCGCTTCCCGGTCCCTTTAACTTCGGCAAAATCAACTACAACCCCGATCCGAACAACTCAACCCGGGGGGTTATATTCCGCGGAGGTTAGCCGGGTGCCGCGAATTATTTATGTGGCCCCCCGGCTAGGTAAGGCATCCCCCAAACTTTTGTTCCCTCCAAAGCGCGCCAGGTCCCCTTCGGTGTGTTCGGCGGGCCTATGAACTCTACGAGCGTACTCCGGAATACCGGATTGCTTCGTAGTGTCCTTATTTTTCGATGCGCCTACCTTAACCTCGCAAAGTCTTTGAAGCTTTTAATATCTTGCTCTTTCTCTCTCTCTTTCTCTCTCTCGCTCTCTCTCTCGCTCTCACTCTGTGATTTCATATTTCGCTTTTTTCGTCACCAACCAGTCTGCCCGTAGTAACATAAACGTAGCCGGCAGATGCAAAAGGCTGAAATCGGACGCCGCATGGCTTTCACCGAGGTGCCGTCCTTTTTTTTTCTGTTTCGGCCGCCGAATGGCCCGTCGGCATGCAAAATGGACATTGACTGGGGCCACAAGGGTGTCACCTTCGGTCATCATCGTTTCAGGATCTACTCCTAGGACTTTTAAAGAGTTTTGTTAGGGTTTTAAAATCGTGGTTTGTAGGCTGGCTAGTAGAAACCAATCAGGAGAGCTAGCAGAGAGGAGGGAAAATCCTGACTCTTTTGCTCAATTTTTTCACTTTTCCTCGTTCCGCATGCTCTGCTTTTCTCTCTGGCTCTCTCTCTCTGGCTCTCTCTCTCTCTCTCTCTCACCCGCCCCCACTCATAATTCAATGTAAACAGCTCGTGGTCGAGAAGGCGCCAAGCCGCGTGGATTACCCCCCGGAAATGCATACTTCATTTGCGGTTCGGGATGCTAGAAGGGGGGATAGCGTATGCTAGAGCCTTCGAAATTCTAGCCGACACACTTCTGAAGTACGATCCGAATGAGAGAAGGGGTCGGATTCCGGGTTTGAAAGACCACTTGTAGGGCAGCCAGTCGAATCGAATGATAGCTTTCAGACTGGGTTTGGGCGCATTTCAGGGATTGCAAGCAAGAAAAGAGTTTCCGTAAGAGCCTCTGCTAACTCTCCTCAATGATCTCTACTAGCTCCCCTCAATGGTCTCTGCTAGCTCTCCTCAATGATCGCTGCTAGCTCTCCTCAATGGTCTCTGCTAGCTCTCCTCAATGGTCTCTGCTAGCTCTCCTCAATGGTCTCTGCCAGCTGCCCCCAATTTCACACCTCATTCTAAAAGGCACCAGGGCGTTTCGGTAACCCATTAACACCTCGACCAGCTGGCGCTTAGGGTACGGTACCCCCTGGATTGCGCCATTTTCAAAGCCGTCCCCTCCCTGGCTGGCCGCCCCAATTTGCATAAGCCGTGGCCCGGATGGGCACGCGTCAATCAAAGGCGGGCCCGAGATGCGGGTTTAATATGACAATCACTCCTCCTCTGCTCTGCCGCTCAAATAGCAGATGGGTGGCCGGAAGGGGTGAGTTATTCCGGAAACGGAGTGGACTTTAAAAGGATTCACTGGTTTACCTATTTAGCGTCATTAAAAAACGTATATCTCCTTTTGGGCCAAACCAAGGAGTTGGCGCGGACGGGAATCGAACGCGAGTCGTTAACTTGAGAACCTATAGTGCTAGAGAACTCGCAAGTTTCGGGCAGAAACGTGCTTATTAGCCTTCCCAGCCCCTTTAAACCGAACTTCTGAGGTCTCGCAGTCTCCTTGCCTCAATTCTCTCTGCTAGCTGGCCCGGCTCGTCCGAGAGAAATTTCAAGCATTTCAAGCATCTCACTCCGGTTAAAGCCAATTTCTGGGCCAATTTTTCGATTTTCCGGGAACATCCGGTTTCCCCAATTTTCTTTGCTAGTTTGCCCTCACGCTCCTGACTGATTTTTCATGGTGGGCGGGGCTAAATTACAGGAATTTTCCCTTGTCCACGTCTCTTTAGATGGAAAATTTCACTTTTCTGAGTTCCGTCGATTTTCCTCGATTCTCTCTGCTAGCTTGCGCCAGGACAGGGCTAAATCAAGCCTTCTGGGCCCTTTAATTAGAATCACTGTCCACTAGACCCAACGGTTCCAAAGTTATCTCTGCTGGTTTGCCCTGGTATTGGTCGCCAATTTTCTTTCGAAAGTCGGGTTGATTTCCCGGGTTTTGAGCGTCCCAGTCCCTTTAAGACCAGATTCCAGTTTTTACGGGTTTGGGGCGCTTTTCCTTAATAATCTCCGCCAGCTTGCCTTCCCCCAAACTTGACGATTGATAGGTGGGTGCGTGTTTGTGGGTGGCGGTACAAATTGTTGTGGGTATGCCGCGGCACTCATCGCTCACCTTCACTCCTCCTCCCCATACCCAAATGGCCATATGGTGTTTGCCGCAGCGGGGGGAGATCGAGCCGCAAAGAAAGGAGATGGTCGGGCCGAGATTAAAGGGACTGGGAAGTAGTTTCGGGGCTGATTTTGACGGCCGATGAGGTCTGTTTTATGGGGGATGAGCGAACCGGCGAATTCCGAATTTCTGTGCGTTTTTACACGGGTTTTTAGCGGGATTTTTGGACCTCGGTGATTCTCAATAAATTCCCCGCTAGGCTTATTTGATCACGACACTCAAATAACGGAAAAAGCTCGACTTTTTGAAGCGTATATAATGCGCCAATCGAAACGTCGCGGCTTGTCCGTATTTAACTGATTACGCCATGTAAATATTTGCCAAAATGCCGGTTTTTCGGTTTAGCAGATTTTTTGAAGTCGGCGATATGCTAGCGAAAAATAAGATTTAAGTGATTACGATGGATAAATAACGGAAAAATACAGCGCCTTTACAATTTTTTTGACCCATTTACGGTGAAAAATATTGGTTCTAGAGAGCCGCCGCTTACGACATGTAAAGCTCAAAATACAGCGATTCGATTACGTACGTCCAAATCCCCGACTAAAACGCCGTGGTGCTCCAACTTACAATTTTTCGCAACAGCCCGAGGCCAAAATTGGACGTTGCCGCCGGTGTATCTAACCGTAAAAGCGTCGACGAAGGTGGGGGATGGGATAATTGAAGGGTGTAGGCGTCTGTTTCTCTCACTCTCTCTCTCTCTCTCTCTCTCTCTCTCTGGCTATGTAGATATCTCTGTGTCACCCGATCCGCTAGAAGTCCCCTGTATTGTTGCAATCCCCGCCGTATTTCCCCACCCCCAGGGGCAATATTTGCCGTTTTTCGGCTTTTGCTCTCTCTCTCTCTCTCTCTCTCTCTCTCTCTCTCCAGCTCCCAGAATATTTGTTGGTGTTCTGCAGCCCCAAATTAGCTTCACCCGGGGTGAAGCGTGTCTCGAAGCGTCTGCTAGGTGTACGAAGGAAAATTTTAGAACGAGGTTCCACAGAATTTTCTGCGAGCTCTCCTCAATGGTCTCTGCTCGTTTCCTTCTTTTCCCAATCCCACAGCCATTTTCAGCTCATTTCGCGCCCCCAATAAAAAGGGCATTTTGGCTCCCGAGAGGGCCCATCCCTCTTCCCCACTAGGGCCCAGATTTCTAATTGGAAGTTTTGGGCCGTCGGCGAGTTTTCGTGCCCCTTCCACCACACCACTAATTCCGGCCTTTGAGCTGGCCGCTTCACGCTGCAAAAATTATGCCTCCGGGCTATCTTATTGCCAGCCACCCCCACCCTCTAATGGCTATAGTTGTCATGCGTTATTTTTCCCGAGTTAATTTTGCCTAAACATCGCGTTTATCTAGGGTTTTCAACTATGAATAA